TCCGAAGAAAGAACCTACGCCCAAGACCTAAACATCCGCTCCCGCAGCCCGAAAACCTTCGCCCCGCGCCCGGAAGAAAGACATATCCCCAGCACCGACACCTCCGACCCCGCCTACCACCTGGGGATCTTCCGCCAAAACCCTCGCACTAGCCGCATCGGCGACCAAGAACGACCCTGGAAACTGACTATCCCCGGCGAATCTGACGAAGACAAACCCCCGGACAACGCCCTCGCCTGGCGCCAGCAGACCACCAAGGGCGTCCTCCAATGCGGCAGCGACCGATTACCCACATACGAAGAGGAGACCAAAGACCCACCCCAGGAAAATCTCCGCGACGAAAAACCCCCTCTCAGCGACATTCCCGCTACTACTCGTCCCTCCATGCCCCCTCTCTCCCAATCCACGGGGAACATCCACCCCACGCGCGGCGAAGGCCGTGTCCTCAACAACGACGCCCCAGTCGAGTTACCCGTCCAGACCGACGACGATTCCAGCGAAGAGATCCTGATGTCGAGCACGGCGTATCCAGGCCAGGAATGGAAACCGGTTGGGTTCTCTGGGTGGGAGTAGGAGAGAGAATCGCTTTAATTTTCGCTAGTTTGTTAGTTGGCGTGGTAGATACCCTTTTGATCTTTTTTTTTTCTTACGTATAATCTTTTCCGGGGTGAGCATTTTAGTTTTGAAGGAGATACTGTACTCATATTTGATTCTTCTGTTTGGAGCATAGCGAGCTTGCGCTTTTGGAGATATTTGATGATTACTACTACCTACTACCTATGAGGAATGAGATATATGTTTTAACTTAAATGGAATGTGATGTGTCAGCTTTGTATTGATGTATACGGAGCCGATGCATGCAGGGTTCATCGTATATTTACGTTTTTATAAGACTAGGAGTGAAGACTCTATATAGGAGTATAATACATCGAGTGAAGGTAAAGCGGCCTTATCCCTCAAATACATTCTGCTGCAGATCAACCCCCATATCTTTGGCCATATTCTGCATCTGCGCTTCCAGCGAATCCTCCATTCCGCCCCCAAGTCTCAGGAACTGTCGGATCTTCGTGAAATAGAAGTAGATGTCGCTGGTGAAGAGCACGAGCCGGAAGAGGATATGGCGGCCGTAGTTCTGGATTTTCTCGTTGAGGGGCAGATCGGGGGACTCAACGAGGGCGCGGGATGCCCAGGTGCCTGTGATCTTGATGCGGTTGACGGGAGAGCCGAGGAATTGATTGTTGGCTTGGACAATGCGCAGATTGCGGCCGATGAAGATGAGCTCCTTAGGCCACTTGCTTTCGTCGCCGAGGATCTGGCGGATGCCCTTGCGGGCGGCTTGTTGGGCTTCGTAGTGACGCTGGGCGCGGTCCTTCTTGGAGAGGCCTTCGAAGTGTTGCTGGGTGGAGAGGTCGCCGCCTTGGTAGGGGCGCATGAGGGTGACGGAGGCGAAGATATCTGGGTTCGTGACGCCCCATTGTTTGACGATGTCGCGGATGGTGGCGTTGTCGAAGGTGAGGAGCGCTTTCCAGAAGCGGGCGTATTGGTGTCGGAAGTCTGTGTCCATGTGAATGTAGAGTCCGTGGTCGATCAGGACGAGCTCTGGCTGACCCGAGGGCTTGCGACGGACGAAGATATTACCCGGGTGCGGGTCACAGTGTAGGATACCCCAGAGGAACATCTGGGCTGAGAATAGGTCAATCATTGTGGTCATCACCTCTTTCAGGGAGAGACCGAGTCCGCCGCGGCCGTTCCATCCGCGCCAGTGATCCCGCTCCGGTTTCATCTG